TGAGAAGTGCTTTTCTCAGAGGCCGCATTCCACATGGGGCCTAATAAACAGATAAAACGCGTCTGCAATTAGTGGCATCTCTGCACGAAAAGACTTAATATGCTGAAGGCTGTTTGTTGATTCTCTTGCACCATTCAAATCTATGCCACAAGCTGTTTGGACCAGACCTTGGCTTAGACAGCCCCCTTTTCTGTCCCATGGAGAGGACAATGTACTCATATAAAAGAGACAAATGAATCAAGCTACATGTATCATATAGACAAATCTTAAAAGGTTTTGGGTAAACAGCAAGTTATTAAAAGATTTTAGCAGTATTGATTGGTGGAAATTGGGCCACCAGATTCTGGATTTGCAGAATTCTGATTAATGAAGTCATTTGGTTCCTTCTCTGAGTCCTGTAACTCAGTAATTCTGTAATTCAGTTCAGATACAGAGGTGCTGAGTCAGGGTGGGGCCTCCACTATTGTTGCTCCTCCTCAACTACCCCCCACTTGCAGCACCGAAGGCAGTGCCCTGGATTTGGGATTTGGCATAGGAAGGCCTGGCATTGAACCCTGGTTCCAAAGCTTTGCTGGCCAAGTGATGGAGTGATCTTTCCTTCAGCAAACATTTGACGAGTGCCAGGTACTGGGTTGGCACTAGACAGACAAAGATATTAATAAATAAGCCACGATTTTCTCTCTGTTTTGTTTTGTTTTCTTTCTTTTTAACATTGAGTTCTTTTGATTTTGAAATATGTCAATTAGAAAAGTATATAGTATTCAAAATAATAAAATGAATACCCATGATATGAACCACCTGGCTGAAAGCTATAGTCCTAGCTACTCAGGAGGCTCAGGTGCCCAGGAGTTTGAGGTTACAGTGAGCTGTGATCTCATTGTACTAGCCTGGGCAGCAGAGCCAGAGCAAGACCCTGTCTCTAAACAATAAAAACAAAACCAAAAACAAAACAAAAAACCTCCACCCAGCTTAAGAAATAAAGCTAGAAAAACTTTTGAAGTCCCTTCTCTCCCACTAAAAGGAAACCTATATTCTTTATTTGGTGTTTATCACCCCCCTGCATGTCTTTTATTTGTACTGTCTAGGTATGTATGCTTAAACAATATATAATGTTTTTATTTTATTTTATTTTTGAGACAGAGTCTCACTTTGTTGCCCAGGCTAGAGTGAGTGCCGTGGCATCAGCCAAGCTCACAGCAACCTCAGACTCCTGGGCTCAAGCGATCCTTCTGTCTCAGCCTCCCTAGTAGTTGGGACTACAGGCATGTGCCACCATGCCCGGCTAATTTTTTCTATATATATTAGTTGGCCAATTAATTTCTTTCTATTTAGTAGAGACGGGGTCTCGCCCTTGCTCAGGCTGGTTTCGAACTCCTGACCTCAAGCAATCTGCCCGCCTCGGCCTCCCAGAGTGTTAGGCTTACAGGCGTGAGCCACCGCGCCCGGCCTTAATGTTTTTAAATTTCTATAAATCATACTACCAAAATCTTTTTTGGTAGGGTCTTGTTCTGTCACACAGGCTGGAGTGCAGTGGCATAATCATAGCTCACTGCAACCTCAAATTTCTGGGCTCAATCAATACTTCTGCCTTAGCCTTCCTAGTTGCTGGGACTAAAGGCACATGCTACCAGGCCTGGCTAAATTTTTAATTTTTAATTTTTTTTTTTATAGATAGGGGGATCTTGATGTTCCCCAGGCTGGTATGGAACTCCTGGCCTCAAGTGATCCTCCTATCTTGGCCTCCCAAAGTGTGAGGATTACAAGCCTGAACCACTGCACCCAGCCCTACCAAAATATTTTAATAACTTGCTCTTTACTTGAAATGTTTTGTTTTAAGATTTATTTATGTGATACACATGGCTCAATTTACTTGTCTTTTTTATACTAGTGTAAACTTTCTATTGAAGTATAACATTTATACAAAAGTATATAAATCGTAAATCGATAAATCGTAAGTGTATAGCTTAATGAATTTTCACAGTCAACAGACCTTTGTACCACCCCTGACAATGAAGAAAAACACAAGTACCCAGAACTCTCCAAGTCTTGTTTTTATTATTTATTTATTTATTGAGACAGAGTCTCGATTTATTGCTTGGGCTAGAGTGAGTGCCGTAGCTTCAGCCTAGCTCACAGCAGCCTCAAACTCCTGGGCTCAAGAGATCCTCCTCCTGCCTCAGCCTCCCAAGTAGCTGGGACTACACGTGCTCACCACCCTGCCCTTCTCACCCTCTCACCATCAGCACCGCTTAGCCAAAAACAGGCTAAGTTTTTGTTTCTATTTTTAGTTAGCTGGCTAATTTTTTCTATTTTCAATAGAAATGGGGTCTCACTCTTAGTCAGGCTGGTCTCAACCTCCTGTCCTCAAGCGATCCTCCCACCTTGGCCTCCCAGAGTGCTAGGATTATAGGCACGAGCCACCATGGCTAACCCAAGCCTCATTTTTAATCACTGCTCCCCAACGGTGACCTCTATCCTGACCTCTAACATAGATTAGTTGGCTTTTTTTGAACTTTGTATGAAACTAAACATGGTATATGTACCTCTTTTGTGCTTGGTTTCTTTCCCTCAACAGTTTGTCGGGCGGCTTCCGGGGCCCCGCTCTTGGGGCCCCAGAACCTCGTCCACGAGTGTATAATAAAGCCACGTGGTTTGGCCCCCCACTCTAAAAAAAAAAAAAAAAAACAGTTTGTCTGTGAGCTTTATCCATGTTGTTATGAATAGCAGTACTTTATTTTTTGCATTGCCTTATAGTATTTCAATGTATGAATATACTAAAATGCATTCACTCATTCTGCTACTGCTGGACATTTGGGTTGTTTCCAGTTTAGGGTTATTGTGATTAGTGCTGCTATGAGTATTATTTTACATGTCTGTTGGTACATGTGCATACATTCTTCTTGGGTTTATATCTAGGAGTGGAATTGCAGGGTCATACTGTATGCATATATTTAATTTTAACAGAAATTGCTAATGGTTTTCCACCCCTACCAGTTGGGTATGAGAGTTCCTTTGCTCCACATCCCTGGCCAGCATTGAGTGTTGCCTGCTTTTTTCTTTTTAGCCATTCTAGTGGGGATGGACTTCCCTTTTTAAGTTAAATTTATTGTGCTAAGTACTTTATACACATCTTCTTATTTTACTTACGTGTCAACTCCATGAGGAAGGTATTGCTGTTAACTCTGTTGTACAGATGAGAAATTGAACTTGAAGAAGTTAAGGAATGCATAGCGAGGACTAGTGCAGGGCCCCCAAGCTTTACTGTCCCCAGTTGCTATGGTCTGGGGCCCAGTCTCATAGGGTAGGGGGGGTCCCAGGAAGACAAATCATTGGAAGCTGGTGAGACAAGTGCAGTAACTGTCAGCCCCAAAGCAAATGAGATGAACCCCTTTCAGCAGGTTAGGGGGAGTCACGGAGAAGCACTGTATCCAAGTGGATCTTTGGACAAGTACACTTAGAGAAACAGCACCTGTTTCTGAGGTGCTAGTGGGAATGTAAGGTGCTTGCTTACATTAGGTAAAGCTCCTGGGCTGTTGAAAGAATTAGTGGATGTACGTACATAGGACCAGGAGATCTTCACAGTTATACTTCTTCCTGGAGCCAGGGGATGGACCAAGTGACCTCTCTGGGCCCCTTTCATCCTCAGTCTGAGTAGGCCAGGGAGAGTTGGAGTTAAGGCCCAGCTCCAGATCCCAGGCAGGGAGAACTCCCTACTCCCAGCCCACCCTACTGCAGAGGGGCTATGGGAGCACCTCCTTTCTACACAGGGAAGAATAATATCACAGGTCATTGTCAAGCCACCTCCCCCATCAGCACCCTGCCACCTCTTCTCCATCTCTACCCTGATCCCTGGACCTAGCAGAACTGCAGTCCAGGATCCACAGCTCCCAGAGAAAGGCCCAGGCAGTTGCAGGAATGGACTGGGTAGGTGTGTGTTTGTTTTGAAAGCCTGGATTAGGCTGTTTAGAAGGAGGAGGAGAAGAAAAGAGGAGGAGGAGGAGGAGAAGGAGGAGGAGGAGGAGGAGGAGGGTGGGAGGTGCGGGGAGGGGGGGTAAAAGAAGATGGGACGTGGAAAGGGAAGGATGAATTTGCTACTTAGACTCTGGGGCTAGGGACCTAAGCCTTTTCCTGCCTACCTCTCCTCTTCCAGCTGGAATTATCCAAGAGGGTTGTGTTGGGGCATCCATGATGGGGGTGGGAATGCAGGGAAGCTGAGGGCCTGGGAGCGGGAGGCCAGATGGGGGCAAGGATGAGAGAGACCATTCACACACCCTGGTGGGCTGGGTTCTGGAACAAAACCCATGGTCTAATAGTTCCAGGCCCCAGCCCAGCCTCAGCCAGGTTCTGCCAGAGCTGGCTCAACAGCGGCACCTGCCGGCCAGGGCCCTCCCTGCGGGGCGGGGCGGGGTGGGCTCCCTTCCCCCGCCCTGGGAACCCTGCGGGTGAGTCACTCCTGGCCTGGGTCCGCGGCCTCCCCAGCTGTCAGATCAGAAAATGTCTTCGGCTGAGGAATGTCCCAAAGCAGCAGGCCTCTGCCCTTCCGGTCGCCACCTGTGCCCCTAATACTACCCTGTTCACCCCGGTTGCGGACCAAGGGCTCATCCTAGCCCAGCTGGCGGCCAGCTCTGGGGAAAAAGAACAGGATGACGGTCTCTAACTTTAGGAAGCTCCTAATTTGGGTAGATTTAGGAAAAAAATCTTATTTGGGCCCAGGCACTGAGGCTAACGCCTGTAATCTTACCATCTTGGGAGGCCAAGGCAGAAGGGTCCCTTGAGATCAGGAGTTCAAGACTGGCCTGGGCAAGAGCGAAGGCCTGTCACTGAAAAACAAAACAAAAAAAAATTATCTGGGCATGGTGGCACACACCGATTAGTCCCTGGAGGATCACTTGTGCCCAGGAGTTTGAGGTTGCTGTGAGCTATGATGATGCCACTGCACTCTAGCTTCAGCGACAGAGTGAGACTCTGTCTCAAAAACAAACAACAAAAACCCCAATTTATTTGGAAATAATTTCAAGCTTGCAGAAGAGTTTCCAGAGATCCTTCATAGTCTCACCATCCATGGAGTGAAATAAGAAAAAAAAAAAGAGATCCTTCATATACCTTACCCAGATTCATCAGTTGTTAAAATTTTGCCCCATTTGCGCGCACTCTCTCTCTATACATACATATATATATATATACACACACACTATTTGAAAACATATTTTAATTTGTATATTAACTAAACAGAGAGTGTGTGGCTGCCATCATGCCCCTTTACCCGTAAATACTTCAGTGGGTATTTCCTAAGAACAAGGACATTGTCTTGCATAACTACAGTTTGGGGAAATTTAACACTGATACAATACCTTTATCTAATCTACTGTCCATATTTCAATTTTATCCATAGGGTCCTTAGAATATTTTTTCCCTCTAGTGTAATAGGATCACACATTGCATTTAACTGTCCTATCTCTTTAGGCTTCTTTAATCTGGAGAAATTCTTTACCTTCTTTGTCTTTCATGACATTTTTTTCAGAGTAGACCTCCCCACCTCTTTTTCTTGTAATTCAGTGTTCCTCATTTGAGGTTTGCTTGGTGCTTCCTTGTGCGTAGGTTCAGGCTGTGCCTCCCTGGTGGGAATATAAGTGATATTATATTCCTGGGTGCAATTCTCCACCTTAAGGAGTTCATGGAATTCCTAAACCTCTGAGGATTAACCCTTGAGCTGTCTGCCAAAAAATCAGATCTTCAAAACAGGTTAAGAATGGCACCATTAATTATGCATGTGTTTTCTCTCTGCTGATGGGCAGGTTAGGCCATTGTTCCTCCTGTCTCCCCTTCCCGCTGCCAAACTTCCCCTTGAAATTCAGCAGCTGCTGTTGAAAACATTCTTTTTGAAGGCCACTAGGGACACTCTAATTGCCCAACTGAATCACCTCATCCTCTTGACCTCATCCCAGGGCTCCAGACCCGCCCTTCTCCCTGAAACCTCCCAAGGCCAGGCTCAGCTTCCCCAGTCTCCGCCCATCTCCCTTGTCAACAAATGACCGAGTGCCAGCAGTGGCGTGCTGGCTGCTCTGGGAGGTGCAGAGGTGGACAGCTGTGGAGTCAGCTCTGCAGGAGGTAGTTTGTCAGCACATTCTAAAGATTCTGGTCTTTCTCATGCACTGACAGCGCCACCCAGGAGACATTCCCCCAGTTCCTATTGTCAGATAGGTCTCTTGACTCATTCTCCACTAAGAAAGCTCTAGTGGTTTCAAGACTGCCTCTCTTCTTCAGCCACCCAGGAGGGCAGCCCTGAGTCCCCACCGTGACCCAGCAGATGTTCCAGCAGCATCATGTCAAGAGTGGGTCTGGGCTGTGAGCTCTCCCTGGGCAGGCCTGGGACTAATGTGGCCCCCCATGAATAGTTAATGGAATAATGAGTACAGAGGTTCAGCTGCTTTCCCAAGGCCTGGCCTTGCCCTTGGCTTTCATCACAGTGACCTCTGGGTTGGCTAGCTGTTGGGAGGAGATCTTTGAAAACTGGCTGTCCCTGGTACAGGGGAAACAGTAGGGAGGGCTGGGCCCCAATTTCTGGGTTCTTATCTTGGTTCTGCCATTTTTTGGAACTTGTACAAGTCACCTAACCTCTCTAAGCCCTCCTCTTCTGTAAAAAATGGGGCTAATAACACCAACCTGGGTGCATCGCCATGAGACCCTTTCATGGGCCCAAGGCCTGGTGTTCAGCATGTCTCCATGAATGTTCCTGCAGTTGGCATTCTTTAAACACTGTGTACAGGTGCAAGGCCTGAGTGCTCTGGGGTGCTTTCTCAGTCCACCCTCCCCTCAGCTTGGCAGCCCTGGGCATCTGTACACCCTGTGGCACTGTCCTGCTGATTGCATGGGGTCTCATCTGCCCTAGCGTGTGTGAGATTCAGGACTCTGAAAGGAATGACATTTTCGTCTTCTGGCTGGGTTATTCAAGGTGTTTAGAGGTGGTTAGGACAGACAAATGACGGTCACAGCTGCAGTTCATAGAGTCTCATCTTGGCGAGACACACCGAAATGTGAGAGGTGACCAAATGCCTTCCTGGCAGACTGTTTCAGAGATTAAGACACTTAAACTAAGATTAAGATTTGGTCTTCCCTGCCTACATTGGCTGTCCCCTCAGGGACAGCATGAAAAGTCAGAAGGCCAACCTGGGTTTGAATCTTGGCTCTGACACTATTTATATGGATGATTTAAGTTAGTTCACATTAGCAGCCTCAGTGGCCTTGTTAGTAAAATGGAACGGGGATAATCTTCAATTCAGGGTTGTTGTTTCCATCTCATCCTTTGGGCTCCCCCTTCCCAGACCCAGTGATTACTGCCAAACTCAGCCCTTTAGTCTTTACCCCTCCTCCTATGACCTCAGAAATGACTACTGCCAAATTTGTCCTATAGACACCTCCCCCACCAGCTATTGTTGCATCTTCATCATCATCATCCTCATCATCATCCTCATTTCCATTTTTAGGTCATTATGTGCTAAGGACTTTTTGACATTTTAAAATGCATAGGGCTGGCTGGGTACGGTAGCTCACGCCTGTAATCCTAGCATTCTGGGAGGCCAAGGCAGGATTGCTCAAGGTCAGGAGTTCAAGACCAGCCTGAGGAAGAGCAAGACCCTGTCTCTACTATAAATAGAAAGAAATTAGCAGGACAACTAAAAATATATAGAAAAAATTAGCCAGGCATTGCATGCCTGTTGACCCAGCTTACCCGGGAGGCTGAGGCAAAAGGATGGCTTGAGCCCAGGAGTTTGAGGTTGCTGTGAGCTAGGCTGACGCCACAGCACTCACTCTAGCCCAGGCAACAGAGTGAGATTCTATCTCAAAAAAAAAAAAAAAAAAAATGCACAGGGTTTAGTCAAAGTTCATGTAGGGTGAAAATATATATATATATACAGAGTTATCTTTTAAATTAAATTAAATTATTTTTAGAGAGAGAGTCTTGCTGTGTCACCCAGGCTGGAGTGCTTCCCAAAGTGCGGGGATTACAGATGTGAGCCACCATGCTCGGACTTTTTTTTTAACAGGGTCTCCTTCTGTTGCTCAAGGATAGAGTGCAGTGGTGCCACCATAGCTCACTGTAACCTTGAACTCCTGGGCTCAAGTGATCCTCCTGCCTCAACCTTCCCAGTAGCTGGGATTACAGGTGTGTGCCATAACACCCAGCTAATTTTTAAATATTTTTTTGTAGAGACGGGGTCTTGTTATGTTGACCAGGCTGATCTTGAACTTCTGGTCTCAAGTGATCCTTCCACCTCAGCCTCCCAAAGTGCTGAGACCGGCCTGTATGATTTTTTTTTTTTTTTTGAGACTGAGTCTGGCTTTGTTGCCCAGGCTAGCGTGAGTGCCGTGGTGTCAGCCTAGCTCACAGCAACCTCAAACTCCTGGGCTCAAGCAATCCTTCTGCTTCAGCCTCCCAAGTAGCTGGGGCTACAGGCATGCGCCACCATGCCCGGCTAATTTTTTCTATATATATTAGTTGGCCAATTAATTTCTTTCTATTTATAGTAGAGATGGGGTCTCGCTCTTGCTCAGGCTGGTTTCGAACTCCTGACCTCAAACAATCCGCCTGCCTTGGCCTCCCAGAGTGCTAGAATTACAGGCGTGAGCCACTGCGCCCGGCCCTGTATGATTTTTCGAATTGAGACTTGCTTTAGGGTCTCATATGTAGTCACTTTTGCAAATGTTCTATGTAAGTCTGAAAGCAAAAGTTCACCAAGTATTTGTAGTATTCAAAATATTCTGTTAGATTAAGCTTGTCAATTATATTGTTCAAATCTTCTAAATCCTTACTGAATTTTTTTTTTTTTTTTATATAGCCCGCCATTGTTGCCTATTTACTGAATTTTTTTGTCTGGTTTATCTAAGAATTCCAGAGGGAGGTGATTTAAATCTTCCATTGCATTGGTGGATTTGTCCATTTTTCTCACTATTTCTGTGTTATGATTTTTGAAGCTATGTTACTGGGTTCATATAACTGTAGAATGGATATATCTTCCTGATGGGTTGAGGCATGCAGGTATTCCTGCCATCTTTCTCTGCAGCATGGATTTTTTTCCAAGTCTTCCCAAGGATACACCTTTTAGGCACCCTTGACTTTTTTGAGGGGCAGATTATCTCTGACTCAACCTCCCATTTTATGAAGCCCCCAGTTTTGTCTTGTTCCTTTTTGGATTTGTGCCTTTGAGGAGTTTTCTTGCCAGCTTGGCTTTGCATTAAACACACACACACACACACACACACACACACACACACACACACACACACATTTCTTCTTTTATATATCATTTCTAGTTGTTTTATATAAGAAGAGTTTTTTTCAACATATAGTCTACCTTATTGCTGAAAATTAGTCTCTGCTAAGTCCTTTACATGAAATTTCATTAAATATGCAAAATAATTCTATAAAATCCTGCCACCATTTTTTTCAGAGGAGAAAACTAAGGCTCAGGAGTTTATGACTGGATTCAGATCCTAGCTCTGGCATTTACCAGCTTCATGACCTTGAGTAAGTCAGTCACTCAAGAGGACTTTGAGCTCAGACAGCACAATAACAAGGCCTGCCTTGCAGGGTTGCTGTCTGGCTTAGAGTGACACGTGGGAAGTACCTGCCTCAGCACCTGGCAGTGTTGATGCTCCGAAGACGTCAGTGACCATGGCTGTCTAAAAGGAAGGGATGTGTATCTGGCATGAGGGGCTTGTTTTCTCTTCACTGGGAAGGGTTGACAAGGACAATTCAGTGTCTGTCTGAGTTAACTGGGGGACCATGAAAGCCACAGACCCCTGACCCCACTCCCCCAAAATTTTGACTGTGATACATGGCTGGGTTTGGGCATCTGTGTCACCTGGGGTGTGGCTCATGCAGTGGCATTCTCCAGCCCCTACCCTGGGCTGTCCTCTGATAAGTCACATGGAAAGGATAGTGTAGTGAGTACCACAAGTTGCCAAGAAGAGGGATAGAGCAGCCCTCCTTGATTAGATAGTAAACAATTGCTTTTATGGCTAGGCTCGGTGGCTCTCGCCTGTAATCCTAGCACTCTGAGAGGCTGAGGCGGGACGACTGCTTGTGCTCAGGAGTTTGAGACCAGCCTGAGCAAGAGCGAGACCCCATCTCTACTATAAATAGAAAGAAATTAGCCAAACAACTAAAAATAGAAAAACATTAGCCAAGTATGGTGGCAAGTGCCTGTAGTCCCAGCTACTCGGGAGGCTGAGGCAGGAGGATCGATTGAGCCCAGGAGTTTGAGGTTGCTGTGAGCTAGGCTGACGCCACAGCACTCTAGCCCGGGCAACACAGTGAGACTCTGTCTCAAAAAAAAAAGAAAAGAAAAGAAGAAAAAAAAACAATTGCTTTTATTCTAATTTAACTTTTCAAAGAGGTAATAAATGCATATGGTTTAACAATCAAAATGAAACACAGTGAGATGTGCACCATCTGGGGGATGGTCATGATGGGGACTCAGACTTGTGGGGGGAGGGGGGGAAATGGGCATTTATTGAAACCTTAAAATCTGTACCCCCATAATATGCCGAAATAAAAAAAAAAATGAAACACAAAGAAATTCATTGGGAAGGTGTGTTCTCACCCCATCCTTGTCCTCCGGTTTCCCCAGCACCCTCTAGGTCACCACTGTTATTACTTTTCCTATGCAAATTCAAACAAATATAAACATTTATTCTTTTTTTTTTTTTGAGACAGAGTCTTGCTTTGTTGCCGGCTAGAGTGGAGTCCGTGGCGTCAGCCTAGCTCACAGCAACCTCAAACTCCTGGGCTCAAGCGATCCTTCTGTCTCAGCCTCCCAAGTAGCTGGGACTACAGGCATGAGCCACCATGCCCGGCTAATTTTTTCTATATATATTAGGTGCGCAATTAGTTTCTTTCTTATATAGTAGGGTGGGGTCTCGCTCTTGCTCAGGCCTGGTTTCGAACTCCCGCCTCGAGCGATCCGCCCGCCTCGGCCTCCCAGGATGGTAGGATTACAGGCATGAGGCCAATATTTTTTGTTTTAAAATATATCCTGGAGATCTTTTCCATTTTTCTTGGCATCTTCTTCTTCTTTTTTGTTTATAGCTTCATATTTTTCCATTGTGGGCTATTGCATAATTTTTTTTTTTTTGTTTTTTTTTTTTTTTTTGTTTTGTTTTTTTTTTGAGACAGAGTCCTCGCTTTGTTGCCCTAGGCGTAGAGTGAGTGCCATGCCATCAGCCTAGGCTCACAGCAACCTCAAACTCCTGGGCTCAAGCGATCCTCCTGCCTCAGCCTCCCGAGTAGCTGGGACTTCAGGCATGCGCCACCATGCCCGGCTAATTTTTTCTATCTATATTAGTTGGCCAATTAATTTCTTTCTATTTATAGTAGAGGCGGGGTCTCACCCTTGCTCATACTGGTTTCGAACTCCTGACCTCGAGCAATCCGCCAGTCTTGGCCTCCCAGAGTGGTAGGATTACAGGCATGAGCCAATATTTTTTGTTTTAAAATATATCCTGGAGATCTTTCCATTTTTCTTGGCATCTTCTTCTTCTTTTTTTTTATAGCTTCATATTTTTCCATTGTGGGGCTATTGCATAATTTTTTGACCCCTTCGCTCTCCAGGTACAGTAACCACACATGGCTGTTTAAATTGAAATTAATTAAAATTAAGTAAAATTTAAAATTCATTTCTCCAGTTGCACTAGATATGTTTCACGCGCTCAGTAGCTATGTGTAGCCAGGGGCTACCATATTAGACAGCCCAGATAGAGAACATTTCCATCATTGCAGAAAGTTCTATTGGACAGTGCTGGTTTAACTGATTCCCTATAGCTGGACACAACTGGTTTGTTTCCAGTCTTCAGGCATTTGGAGGATGATTAGGCCCATCCCTAGAATGTGGAAGAGCTGGGTGAAAGCTGCCCTGGGAATTCTGGGCAGTTAACCTCAGATCTTGCAACCTGGGAGGCTCCTGCAAGAGGAGGGCTTCGGGTTTGGGGAAGAAGCTTGACTACAGCCTGGAAGAGAGAGTGGCTCTTAAAGGCAGGCTTCCTGCTCAACCCTAACCTACTCCCTCCCTCTGGGCTTGCCAAAATACAGTCCTGTTTCTTTCATTCAATATTTAGCAAACACTTCTTGAGTAACTACCAGGGATGGTGCCAAATCCTATGCTGGGAATACAGGAATGGTAAAAACAGTCCCTCCCTTGGAGAAACCCACACTCCAAAGAAAGATAAAGATCATCACCTGCTCTGTGACCAGGACTTTCAAAGGGGCCTCACTTGAAATCAAAAGGTCTAACTGGCTGGGTGTGGTGGCTCAAGCCTATAATCCCAGCACTTTAGGAGGCTAAGGCAGGAGGATCCCTTGAGGCTAGGAATTTGAGACCACCCTGGGCAACACAGTAAGAACCTGTTTCTACAAAAAATTAGCCAGGTGTGGTGGCACATGCCTGTGGTTCTAGCTATTTGGGAGGCTGAGGCAGGAGAATTGCTTGAGACCAGGACTTAGGGGCAACATGAGCCATGATTTGGCCACTATACTCTAGCCTGGGTGACAGAGCAAGAACCTGTCTCTCTTTTTTTTTTGAGACAGAGTCTTGCTCTGTTGCCTGGGCTAGAGTGCCGTGGTGTCAGCCTAGCTCATAGCAACCTCAAACTCCTGGGTTCAGGTGATCCTCCTGCCTCAGCCTCCTAAGTAGCTGGGACTACAGGCATGCGCCACCATGCCCGGCTAATTTTTTCTATATATTTTAAGTTGTCCAGCTAATTTCTTTCGGTGTTTCAGTAGAGACGGGGTCTCGCTCTTGCTGGTCTCCAACTCCTGAGCTCAAATGATCTACCCGCCTTGGCCTCTCATAGAGCTAGAATTACAGGCGTGAGCCACCACTCCCGGTCGAGACCCTGTCTCTTAAAAAAAAAATTGAAAACAGGACAGGTTTGGTAGCTCATACCTGTAATCCTAGGACTTTGGGAGGCTGAGGTAGGAGGATTGCTTGAGGCCAGGAATTTGAGGTTGCAGTGAGTTAGGGTGATGCCACTGTATTCTAGACTGAGTGACACAGCAAGACCCTGTCTCAAACAACAACAACAACAGGCCTAATAATACCCTATATTTGTGAGGATGCGGGGCAATCTCATCCATTATTGGGGGTTGCAAATTGGTATAAACTTTTTGGAGGGCAATTCTGTGAAAATCTATCAAAAATTTAAAAGCACATAATCTTTGACCCAGAAGTATCTTATTTATTTATTTGTTTAGAGACAGGGTCTTTTTCTCTCTCTCTCTCTGTCACCTGCGCTAGAGTGCAATGGTATTATCATAGCTCACTGTGAGCTCAAACTCCTGGGCTCAGTAGATCCTCTCAAGCAGCTGGGACTATAGGCATATGCCACCATGTCCAGTCCCTGGCTAATTTTAAAGTTTTTGTAGAAACTGAGGTCTTGCTATGTTTCCCAGGCTGGTCTTGAACTCCTGGTCTTAAGCAATCCTCGTGCCTCAGCCTCCCAAAGTGCTGGGATTACAGGTATGAGCCACCAGCAGATACATTAAGACTATTAAGAGTGGTTATCTCTGGGCAGGGAAAGGAGGGGGAGGCCTATTGGTGGGAGACTTGGTTTTCTTTACCTATGCCTTTGCACCTTGTTTTTTTTTTTTTTATTTCGGCATATGATAGGGGTACAGATTTTAAGGTTTCAATAAATGCCCTTTCCCCCCTCCCCCCTTGTTTTTGTTTTGTTTTGTTTTAAGAGACAGGGTCTTGCTCTGTCATCCAGGCTGGAGTGCAGTGGTGTGATCATAGCTCACTGTAACCTCAAACTCTTGAGCTCAAGAGATCCTCCTGCATAGCTAGGACTATAGGATCAGGCCATCATGACCTGCTAATATTTCTTGTAGAGACACCGGTCTCATTATGTTGCCCTGGCTGGTCTTGAACTCCTGGGATTAAGCAAGCCTCCCAGAGTGCTGAGATTGCAGGCATGAGCCACCCCCTGCCTTGCCCCTTTTTCTTTTTTTAGAGGTACCTACTGAGTAATGGTGGGCAGGAGATTCCTGGGGAAATCTTCTGCTCAGTCACCTGAGCTCTGAATTTCCCCAGTGACTGCACAATCCCTTTATCTGAGGTGACAAGGTGACAACAGTCCAGAAATGTCACCCCTGTGGTGACTCCATCCATCACCACTGGAGGCCTCAACTTGTCTTGGCTGTCATACCGTCTGTGCCCAGAAGAGGGGAGCACAGACCCACCTATGCATTAGTCCCGAACTTCACCAAGCCTTCCCCACCTTTTTTTTTTTTTTAGAGATAGAGAGATAGGGTGCCGCTCTGTTAGCCAAGCCCCATGTGCAGTGGGGGTGGGTGGGGGGTGTCATGGCTCATTATAGCCTCCAACGTCTAAGCTCAATCGATCCTCTCCCTCAGACTCTCAAAGTGTTGGGATGACAGCCGTTAGCCCCCATGCCCAATCCCCAAGCCTTCTTCTTTCTAGTAGTTCCTCCTCTGTGGATCTTGATAGGAAAGACACTTCCTGCCAAGCCAAAGAAATTTATTAGGTAATAATTGATTACATTTACCCCTTTACTTTTTTTTTTGTAACTCAGTTCTGATCAGTGTGCACAAGAGACATAATGTAGGCTTGCTGAGATGATAATTTTCCACACAAGAGGTCCTACATAGCCCAGCCTTATTTCCACCAGGCCTTATGTGTGTGTGTGTGTGTGGGGGAGTGATGGTTGGCAATGGCCTGAGGACCCCCGGGGGATTGAGGACACTGACTGGCAACTACTGCATTAGCTTGGATTTTCAGCTGCAAGGCATACTGCTGTCCTTTTCTTTCATCCTTAAAGTAGTTCTGGGCAAGAGGAAGCATGAACGCCTGGTCCTATAAGCTGACTTAAGCAGCCGCTCTGCCAGATGTGTTTAGACTCTGTCCCTTGCTATGCTGTGAGCAGCCCAAGGACAGGGACTCTTCTCGTCTGCCACAGAATCCCTAGGACTGAGCACAGCACTGGACACACAGCTGGTGCTAAGTAAAGGTTTGTTGTTGAATTGAAAGAGACAGCCATTGAGAGATGGGACTAAATTCTTAAAAAAAAAAAAGGTCCTAGTTAATCTCAAGGGCAAGGCCCAAGGGCAAGGCTCTGGTCTGTTCATGCTGGAGGAGATGGCAGTAAGCAAGGAAAGGATCACTTTCCCTGTGTGCTCAAGGATAATCCTGCTTCGACTCACTTTGGAGGTCCCTGGGGCCAGGACTTGAAACAAGTGACTACATTTCTCACCCACCTGGGCTGCTGGTGACCTTGGCAGAAGAAAGGCTTAAACCAGGTCAGCCTGAGGGTAAGGGGCTGGCTTCTCCCAGGTTCTTCCTCAAGATGAGATGGTTAACTTCCCAGCTCTGGCCTCAACTCTTGTCAGTGGTTCTGAATTTAAGGGCAGAAGGAGGAGGAAGCTGTAAGGGGAGGGAACACTTGGTTCCTGGGGTAGCCTAGTGAAGGGTGGGGCGCTCATACCGTGGGCCCACCCTCCTCAGTGTAGGAGTGTAGGGAGGGCCCAACTGGGGATCCCCACAAATTAAATGGGGAATAAGAGGAGCAATTAAAATACTCAAATTCCAGGCTGGAGATGGTACCCCAAGCCTGAAGGTCTATGTCCCCCTCCGAATACTCTCTCGCACCCTGGATGAAACAGGCAGTTGGGGACCAGGACGGCAACTCCAAGGTAGTGTAGATTTTCAAGGTGGATAGAGAGGAGGCTTGTTTCTGCCCTATATTAGCTGTGTGCCCTTGGACAAGTCACTTAACCACTTTAGCCTCAGTTTCCCCATCTCTAAAATAAGGATATGAATACCTACCTTCCCTGGTCATTGTCAGGATGAATGAAAGCAGAGCTCTGAAAGCATTTCTGTAATTAGCAGACATCAGAGATTGTTATTCTCCAAGGTGAGAGGCCACCCTAGGTCCAGGGTGGTGACACAGGCAAAGAGATTTCTTTTCCCTCCTCTGCGGTGGCGGTGCCTGCTCCTTTTCCAGCCTTGCGTCTGGCTTTAATCCTCCCGTCCTCAACCCCCTGCTTCTCCTTAGGATCGCCTGGTGGTCCCAGCTTCTCGCAGCCTGCCCTTTTCCATGGGTGCCCCCATTCTACATCCACTGGGATGCCGGCACATGCGCACAGTGGTCGAGATGGGACAGGTGGTGTGGGTCTCCGCTGGCTTGGGTCCACACCTCCCACCCTGTTTGGGGTTCCTGTTTGCAGATGGATCCCTCTGATCCTCAGCGCGTCTCTGGGCTAAACAGAGGAGCAGAGAAACAAGAAGTGGGGGGCCTGGAAGGGGGTTCCCACCTTCTCAGGCGGGGACCCGAGAGGGGGACGCAGCCCTTATGCCCCAACGCCGCACCGCCATGGGTCTCCAAGCTGCGCTCGCAGTTCCTGACAATCTTCTATTCTGAGGGTTGCCCCTCCAGCCACGGTCGCTACCCCTTCACTCACACCCGGCCAATCCTCCGCCCCAGGCGATAGGGAGAATGCGGTTCTAGGACCCGGAGGCGCCGCCGAGCGCGCCGCTGCCTCGGCCTCGCCTCGGTGGCCTCCAGCTCCGGCAGGTGAAGCGGCGCCGGCCGCCCCTTCTGCGGCAGGTGAAGCGGGTCGGCAGCCCCCTTCCCGCCGCGCCATGGATGCGGTGGTCCCCGGGCCGGCACCCGGCGCCCGCCTCCTCCCTCCAGCCCGCCCCCCTGGGGCTGGGTGCGCAGCGGCGGCGGCGAACTGCGGTTTGCGCGCACGGGGAGCGACAGCAGAAGTTCGAAAATCACCGAGGGGGGAGCCCGCGCCTCAGCTTCCTGCCCCCGGCCCAACCCTCTGGCCCTGGCGGCCTGCAGCCTGACTTCCTCCCCCCACCCTGCAGCTCGCCGCCCGGCGCCCTCAGACCGGGCCGCCCCGATGGGACGCCGCGCCCCGGCCACTGCGCGCCACTGAGCCGAGCGCCCGCCGTCGCCGACGCCCCGCAGCCACCGCGAGCCGCTGTCCCCTCGCCCCCCGGGCCGGGAGCCTTGTCCCGGTCCCCCGGAAAGCTGGATTTCCGAGGCTGGAGGCGACTGGCCGGCTGGGTGGGGACCACCATGGGCAACGCGGCCGGCAGCGCCGAGCAGCCCGCTGCCCCTGCCGCGCCGTCCCCCAAGCAGCCCGCGGCTCCCAAGCAGCCGATGCCTGCGGAGGGAGAGCTGGAGGAGAGGTTTAACCGTGTCCTGGTGAGTGTAACCCCCGCTGCGCGCAGGGCGTGAGCAGGGGGCGCCTGGGGCTCGGCACACATCCCCGCCCCCCGGGGACTCAGGTGCCGCTTGGAGATCCCCGGCTGCCCCCTCCAGGGGGTGGGAGTGACAGTAGCTTTTTTCAGAGTGACTTAGCACTCTCCCCCCAAAACTTTCCTCTACAATCTCCTGGGCTCACTCCCTAAGACACCCCCCCTACCCCCCTTGCTCCTGGGTCTAAACAAAAATGTCCTGTGAGGAAGTTGGAGCGAGCACACAAGGAGGTCCCAGGTCACCCTTTTCCCCACTGCACACAGCCCTGCCACCGCCTCTAGGCAGCAGTCTGGAGCATCTGCCCTTCTGTGCCTGGGGGTCAAAGATGGAAGGGGTTACAACCACCCCGAGCCAGAGACCTAGTGGAGGTGTTCAGTTCTGATTTGCTCGGTGCCTGGGCTGCTGGGGGTTGGGTTGTCAGCTCATGCCCACGGGGTGTCTGTGGGCACGAGCTATATGTTGGGACATATGTTGGGGACAGGCTGCCTGTGGGTCTTCTTTTGGGCATCTCCTCCTGCCACGGAAAGGAGTAAGGTTAAGAAGGGTGGGATGAGTGGGTCACTCTGGCTTGGGGTGGAGCAAAGATCTGGAACCCTCCACCCTTGCTGTCACCTGTCTGGGGAATTGGGGAGGCCTGGGGACTAGGCCAGTGGGGAGGGAGCCAGCATCTCAGTCTGAGCCTGGGAGCAGTCAAAATGTGTTTGGTGGGATAGGGGCTCCGGAGAAGAGTCAGGGGTCCCCAAGACCCTGGGAGAGGCAGAGGTAGGGAGGGGGAAGGGCCACTCATTCTCACTTCCTCCTCCCTACCTACACCCTGTCTCCTGCTCTCTTCTCTAATTGCCTAGTGGCCAGTCTGCTGTCAGCCTTCCCTTGCTGGACACTGGGTGACAGGCATCAGATAAGGCTGTGCTTTTTCCCAGAGGCATTTCCCAGCCTGAGCAGGCTGGTGCTGCAGGTCTGGGGGGTGGGGGGAGGCCCAGGCAGCAGAGGCTGCTGGCTCAATCCTTTACCCTAACCTCCTTGACATCATTTCCCCTCCCTTGACCAGTCATTAGGCCACACTTGCTAGATCCTCTGCATGGCCCCAAAGAATAGCCTCCTAACAGTTCCTGAAAATCTTGGCTGCTGTTGCCTCCTGGGGGAAGGCCAGGAGGAGTCTGGAAGAGCTATGGGATGGGTGGGGTCTGTCCTTGTGAAGGCACCTTGCTTGATTGTGGGGGGGGGGACTTTGAAAAACACCTCAGCCCCAGGCTGTCCCTGACTTCCTCTATCTCTCCCTGCCCCTCTTCTTCCTTCCCCCTTCCCAAACCCAGGGCTGAGCTGAGCCAAGCTGCTGTGGGAGGGGACCAATGAGGAGACAATCTCTGGGGTCTCTGGGAGCCTGCATTGGTGGGGGTCCCTGGACCCCCTCCAGCCTGATTGGGGGTACATGGGTCTGTCTTTCCCCCTAGGTGTGTGTCTGTGGAGGGGGTGGCGTGGGCTCTTGGGGTGGGGTCCAGGCCCCAGGAACTCTAGTGGGGTGGAGTCGGGTGAATAATTCAGACCAGTGGAATATCCAAAAGTCAAGTGGTGAGGTTCTAATGCGTGGGTAGGACTTGATTGCCCTGCTAGGGTTTGTGGCTATAACCGATTGGCTGAATCTGACACTAAATGCCACTGGTAATCCCTGAGTAACAGGGCATGGAGGGGAAGGCCCAGAGATGGGTCTTAGAGGGTGTCCTGGTAGAGAAAGGAGTGCTGGCTGGGGAGAAATCTAGACAGTAGCACCCACTGGGACGCACCCCCTGCCTGGTCCCCAGGAACCCTGATGTGTTTACACCTTCCTGGGGGGGGGGTTTCAGTCCATTCTTGTCCTGTTGTGGGCAGGATGAATCCACCCTAAGGTCACTTGACTGAGAAATGGGCGCCTCTCACTCCCTACCAGCAGGAGCATGAGCCCCGCCCTGCTCAGGGTGACAGCCTTCACCTCTGTCTGAGGCTGCCCAGGGCTACAGCTCTGGCTAAACCCACAGGTCTGGCAGTGGATATTGCAAGGTGGGTCTCCATCTGACCTCTCCTGCCATGGCCAGAGCTGAGTCCAGCCAGACAGGAGGTGCAGGGAGACTTTCTTCTATGCAAGGGTGGGTGGTGGTGGGCTACTTTTCCAAGAAGGCTGTAAGAGAAGGGGTGCCCCCAGCTTAAAATGGGGGTGGGGAGAAAGAGCAGGTTGAGCCAGGGTTTCCGGCTGCTGCCTTAGCAACAGCGGAGGAGCGATGGCTGCCCAGATCCATGGGCCTGTGAGATGGTGGGAACACCAACCGGCCGGGCTCCAAGCTCTCACCTCTCCTACGCCCGTGCCCAAGGCTGGGTGTCTTCCAGCCCCTTCATGCCTTCCCCTGCAAGGCATGCAGGTCAGAGACTGGGGTGACAGGGCAGCCTTTCCAGGCCTGCCAGAGTGCCATGCTTACAGCTGGGCACAGGACACCCCTGATCCGCCTGGCAAGGAGAATCCTGCAACCCCGGGGCAGAGGGATCAAGGGAAGGTGTTGGGGATGGGGCATGTGGGACCGAGAGCAATGCTGGCATTTGAGGGGGGGCTGGGCCATTTGGAGAGGAATTTGCCTCATGGGTGCTCTTAGCTTGTTCCCAGGGACCTGGTGGGTACCTGGCCAGGCTGTGTGGGAAGGTCAGGATGGCCCCAAACAGGGTGTGGGCTCTGGGAGGCCCCTTTGCCTCTGGGGCTGGTGGTGATGAGCTGAGGCCTGCAAGTGAGCATAGCCTCCTTGGCCAGCCGCCTCCTCTGGGGCAGGGCTGATGAAGTTTGGGGGCATGCAGCCATGGGGGTCACCCAGACCCTGTGTCTCCCACCCCTGGGGTGTCTCATACAGAGGATCTCAAGGGGGTTGTGGTCATGTGGTCAGATATTGGTGCGGGCAGAAGCCATTGGGTGGCATTCCCAGAAGGCAGGGCTGGCACATGCTAACCCTGCAAAGCCAAGGATGTGGTGGGCATGATTCACAGTGACATCTGGGGCTGGTTGACACAGAGCTGGGTGAGATGGGCAGGAGCAGGTGGGCTGCTCTTGGGGCCACTTCTTCATTTTTCCAGGGAACATGGAGCCCTGGAAGGCAACTTGAGCCTTCCTGCCTTTGAGGGAGCCGGGGTTACTCAGGGGAAAGGTGGGGAAGTTTCCTGGGCTTTGGGGTCATGAAGTTTGGGGTCAAGTTTCATCTTTGCCACTTAGCATCTGTGTGACTTTGGGCAAGTTACTTCTCTGAGCTTTCGGTTTCCCTTACCTACAAAAAAAGAATATCAAGGGTATATGCCTGCCTCCTAGGACTATTGAGGGATTATATAGAGTGCTCAGCACGTGCCTGGCACAGAGCAAGTGCTCAGTAAATTCTCCACTTCAAGGAAGGGGACCATGTGAGAGCTGATCTGGTCATTTCCATCTCCGGTCCCTTCTTGGTGAAAGAGCCCTGCCTCCCCACTGCCCCCACCTCCACTACCAAGAGCACCCAAGGTTGCTGTGCTCTCCCGAGGAGCCCCAGATCTTTTGCCAGCACAGGCCAGACAGCCTCCTTGCCATTATGCAGGTCAGCGACAATGGGGCCTAGACTGAAAACTGCCTGGTGGCCGGAAACCACCAGAGGGAGGGCCCACCT